AACCAGTTGATCTGAGGGGAGTAAATTCAGCTCCCCCAGCACTTGGGTGCACACAGACCCAGACACCTCTCCTGCTTCTGAAAGAAAAACAGCAGAGATGAGAGATGAGTGAAATGAGAACAAGCAGAGCCACACACCTGATCTCAAACTGGGAATGCCAACCCTTGGTGCTCTGCCCTGGAACCCAGAGCTTTCCATTCTGCAGGCCTCCCTGAAACCACTTCTCTCTGACTCCAAACACTCCCCTTTTTCCCTTTTTCACCAGCCCAGGAGCAAACCTGAGGTCTTCCCAAGGCAGAGCCCTGAGGAGCAGCACTGGGGGACTCTCCACGACCAGTTCAGTGATGATTTCTCTCTCCTTCCCTCAGTAGATGTGGCCAAGCCACGGGCTGGTTGTGCCCTGAGTGCAGCATGAGCTGGGTCAAGCTGAAAGCAAAACCTGCCTCTGTCATCCCCTGGACAAGATCTGGAGGGAAACCTCCCCACCCTGATGTATTAGTAAGTAATTAATCTAATAACATGCACTTATTACCGGGCTATTGTGATGGGATGTTGCTTAGTGTGTTTTGGCAAGAGGCTGGTTGAAGCTGTGTGGCTTCCTTTGAGGTTGGTGTTGGTGTCTCCCGCAGGAACAGCTCATTCTTGGAGAGGCCTTGGGTTGGTGACAAGTTCTTGCTTCCCTGCTTGGCACCCGAGTCCTGCCTGCCCCTGCCCGGCTCAGGGATGGGGCAGGGGCTGGGGAAGGGTGGTGGGCACAGGCAGGGGGAGGGAGGCTGAATGTGAAGTGCTGCAGGGTTTGAGGCAATGCCAAGCACAAATATGGGCTGGGCAGAAAATGGGCTGAGAGCAGCTGTGAGAAGGACTTGGGGCTGATGGTGGATGAGAAGCTCAACACGACCCAGCACCGTGTGCTGGAGCCCAGAAACCACCCGTGTCCTGGGCTGCATCCCCAGCAGCGTGGGCAGCAGTGCCAGGGAGGGGATTGTCCCCTCTGATCTGCTCTGGGGAGACCCCCTGGAGAGCTGTGTCCAGGTCTGGAGCCCCCAACACAGGAAGGACATGGAGCTCCTGGAGAGAGTCCAGAGGAGCCACAGAGATGATCCA